CCGGATACTGACGGTCAGTAGTGACACTGGCCTAGACAATGCAGCGCCTTATTTGCATGGCTACTGCGTTTTTTAACGTGACTGTACAAGTTTGAGGCTGAATTTCAAATCTGTTTATGCGAAATTGCCAGTTGCTGCAACGGATTTGTAAGTTTCTGTGTGATTTTTGATGACAGAAGTTGCTTTTATTTAATGAAAAATTTCTCAGTTCTGACTGCCCTTACGAAAGAAATGAGACAATTTTGGTTTACCAAGATGGCTGTCTTCTGGGCTGTAGCGCCCTGATGATGGAGGCAGGAAGCACCTCCGAAACGTCGGTAAACTTCTACCAGACTACACGGCATCTTCGGACTCACCGCCGTGAGAAGCTCAAAATCTACAATTTTTTTATTTGCGTCTCGTTTTTAACCTCAGTCCCGATCACTCGGTTTCATTTTCTGTTCCAGAAAAACATGAATTCCTCGTGGTGCCGATTTCTTTTGAACAATTTCGGTCAATATTTTGTGCCCTGAAGCTTTCTGAGAATTGGCTGTTTCACAGGCGAAGGAGTTACCAGCGAAGGACATATCCGGGACTTCCGACCCGTACGTCCGGGTGACGCTGTTACCAGACAAGAAACACCGTCTCGAGACGAAGATCAAGCGACGAACTCTCAATCCGCGCTGGAACGAGACCTTCTACTTCGAAGGTAAGTGAAGGCACGCGCAGTCCTCGAGGTGTCGGGTGTGGATAAGGGGTTGATGTTTGGGGATGGCGCGAGGGGTTGACAAAGAACTCTGCTAATGGACAAGGAAGAACTACGTATGAATGGGAGGTAAACAGTTTAGGACTGAGACATCGGGCAAATTGGCCGGCCGGAAGATTTTGCCATAGTTGGAAATTACTCATTTAAATTTTCATCGAATTCTGAATTTGTATCTTGTACTTTCCACAAATCAGGGAATTTTTCGTACTCATGTTTTGGTACACTCTGAGAAATAAGGCTTAAGTTCTAAGTCACTTTACTTGTCATTAAAGTAACACTCAAAGCTGCTTTCTCTCCACCAGCGCGTAGAAATCGGAACACGTTGAACCCTCAGTTCGCAGGCGGTGATTAGATCGTCGTCTGAAAATCTTTGTTTCTATTTTCACCTCACCTCCTTAACTAATTCTCTGCTCTCAAAACATTTTTTTATTTTACTCCAAAAGAACCCGAGTAATTTTTTTTTAGATGTTGATGGATCGGTCTAGTAAAAACCGAATGAAGAGTTTACATTTTAGATCAGACTTTATTTCTCTCAAAAGACTAACTGTTGGGGAAACTTTGCCTCAAAGTCCTTATGGTCGGTTTTAAAATGTCTCTGAGCGCCATTTTTGTCTGTTGAAACAGTAGCACGGCACAGCAAACGCGCAATTTCCTTTAAAATAAAAGTATTGTTTAAATCATTTTTCTTTTGTTTCGCGTATTAACTGAGCCCCAGGGCAACAGTGACATTTAACACATCACAATGGAAATTGCGTTGTCACTCGCACAAGGAAGAACTTGCGAACTGAATAGCTGTTCTGTTCAAAGAGAGTGGAGGTTTGTGGTGGACTACGCGTTGCCTTCTCATCGGTTCCTTGTGGCATAATTCGTTTTAATTATATTTTATTTTTTCAGTTTTTACGTTATTTCCCTTAGGAATCATAGAAATAACTTTTTTCAAGTCCCAAAATCGTAATTAATTACGAAGCCACCCCCCCAACCTACACCACCACTTCCATAGCTCACGGAATGGACACTTATTTTGTGTCTGATCACGTGACAAAATATTTAATGCTCCAGGATTCCCGATTCAGAAGCTGCAGAGTCGAGTTCTGCATCTGCACGTCTTCGACTACGATCGTTTCTCGAGGGATGACTCCATAGGCGAGGTCTTCCTGCCACTTTGTCAGGTGAGCGATTTATTAATTTTGTTCCGAGTTAGAAAATTGCGTAATATCAGATAATTGCGACTAGGCTCAATATTTTAACCAAAATGTATTATTCTGACAAAAACACTAATGTGCGTAATGTTTTGCTAATAAAAATGGTTACGCATTTTATGGAATAAAACCGGAAGTCATAGTCAGTGTGTCGTTTGATAATGCGTTAGTATCTAATCTAGGTAAGAACGAAGGAACCTCTGTTAAACATGGCCACTTCTTCTGGATCGAGTAGTGCGTGGATTAGTTTTCATCGCAAGGAACGTAAGCAAGATGGCTGAACTCCAAAACTACAAACAGATTAAAATTAAAATGGGTCGCGTCTTTATGCCGAGTGTCAGAGGAAGCTTCTTTGCTGTCAAATTCTATCTTCCCTTGATCTGTAGGTGGACTTGTCAGAGAAGCCTTCATTCTGGAAGGCTCTGAAGCCACCTGCAAAGGATAAATGTGGCGAACTGCTTACGTCTCTGTGTTACCACCCCAGCAACAGCATCCTCACTCTGACTCTCCTCAAGGCAAGGAACTTGAAGGCAAAGGACATCAACGGAAAGTCTGGTAAGTCTTGGGAATGTGACGTTAACATTTTCAAATTCAATTCAGTTCAATTATTTAAGTGTTTGCCAACAACAAAGAGCCTGTGACAAACGTACGACAAGAAATACGAATTAAATACAAGGAAATCGAATAAAAGCAGAAATAATATTAAAACAGATAACCAAGCTAGATCATCTGTCAAGACAACGTATCTAGATCACTTCCCTTATTGAGAACGTGCCCTCAAGGGAGACAATGTTTATGCGAAATACGTCCGAAGATTTACATACGTCATTTGCAGAGTTGACGCACCTCGCTGAAGGACTATGCCTTAGTGCACTGCTCGCACTAAAAGTAGAAAATTCTCTTATTTGCCTCGCCGGCACACGTAAACCAACAGCGTCCATAATGGAATTGCAATTTATTTTGCCCTTAAAGACATTAACAAGAAATAACGCATCGAGATGTCGTCGTCTGGAATAGAGTGTTATAAAATTTAAAGTAGATAAAATCGATTCATATTTGCGTGGGATATTAAACTGAAAAATTCGGTAATTGCACAAACTGGCAAATTTTCTTCGAATATTTTCTAATTTATCAGAATCTGTCTGTGTAAGATTATTCAATACAATAATAATAATAATAATATATATACCCACTTGAATACTCGGTGTAAAATCACGTAAGCATTCTCTATCGCTTTCTGAAAGTAGATTTACTATTAATTTCAAAACAACTTTGATTTATTAATTAATGAACATGTTTTTATTCGTCCATTTAACTAATGAGTCCACAGAATATAACCAGTCTTTGCTTAATTATGCTTTGACCTCAATTATTCCCTTTCATTCGTTGAGAATCTGGGGATCTCTCCCCAGGTGTAGCAGTCCAGCTCAAATAGGGTAACACACTTCTCAGCAGTGTTGCTGGACGTACCAAAGGGCTCCGTCGTGGCCGATCTCAGACAATGACTGGGCTGACGTCAGTTCTAATGGATGCTGGGAAATATTTATCACAATAACCGAGCACAAGGGCCCTTGTGAAGGTTTCCTCGTTGTTAATCTCCCCAAATAAATTATTCTCTTCTCCTAATCAGACGTTTCGGCGGTTCTCGAGAAACTAGTAAAGAAAGTTCCCTCCCACGTTTCGTGAAACCTGTGTTCACGGGCGTGTGCCTCTGGACTAGAGCTCCGACCGACCGGCAAAGCGCTGACGCCCTCGAACTCTACTCACCGATGTGTTCAATGTTGGCAGACCCGTATGTGAAGGTGTGGCTTCAGTTCGGAGATAAGCGGATTGAGAAGCGCAAGACGCCGATCTTCAAATGCACACTGAATCCCATCTTCAATGAAACATTCAGCTTTAACGTTCCGTGGGAGAAAATTCGTGAATGTTCCCTGGACGTCATGGTCATGGACTTTGATAACATCGGAAGGAACGAACTGATCGGCCGCATCTTATTAGCGGGTAAGTTGGCAGCAGCTGCGGTCTCAACATGTCAGCCAATTCTGTGCCAAAAACACTTAGCAATAAAATATGATGTTGAACTTTTCATCACGTCTACCTAACCATCTGCTGTCCATCCACGTACGACTCTGACTTGCGAGTCTGGCTGGGGATATATTTCACCGCGCATGCGTAGCAGACTCGGCTCGAAGGAACCCGAGCCGAGCCGAGCTGAGCCGAACTCGTACGTGGATGGGCCGCTTAAAGCTCGTAAATGGTTATTTAATCCACGCATGAGGTTGGCCGAGGAAATTTAAATTCCCATTTCTGAAACGTCTTAATGAACTTATTATTTATTTGTTTAGGTTATGTAAGAGAAAAATTATGATTGCAGTAAGTCATTTGACCCAGCAGGTATAATAATAATAATATTTAAATTATTTTACAAAGACGTCTGACTGAGGACTGTGCAGGGCAGCAAAAGTTCAACATCCGCGTGCAACTGGAATAAAATTAGTTCGCGCAATGTTTGTGTTGCAGGAAAGAACGGCTCTGGCGCGTCAGAAACAAAACACTGGCAGGACATGATCACCAAACCGCGTCAGACGATAGTCCAGTGGCACAGGCTGAAGCCGGAGTAGAACTCTAACCTAACATTCGACCGGAGAAACAGTTGACTGTCGCCGTATTTACTTGAATTCTGGGATGAGTCGCACCTTTCATCTGATGATTTGTTTTACATTGTAATTGTAAATATTTGTAAGTACTCTCCGTTACAAGAAGTTAAGAGATAAAACTCGTATCTTTGTAAAAAAAAAATGTTAAACGTAGACTTCTTTTGTTATTGTGTTATCTGTTTTATGATTTTTTTGTCACGCGAAATACTTGGGCTAAAGTTGCGATGCGAAAGTTTCAGCGTAGTGTTTTATTCGTTCAGACCAGAGTGAGGTTATGTTAACTTTTTTTTTTAATCGTCGCGAGTTCTTTCAGACGAACTTCATTACCAACCCTTCACATTAATATTTCCTGATGATAACTGACGGACATTCCGGCTACTTCGATGATATTTAGTAAACTACTGTTTGTTGTTACTTGAAGGACAGAAGTAGAGAAATTTCAGTCACATTTTACTATCTGTAAGCACGTATTTTTTTTAATTTTCCTGTGAATCCTGTGTTTAAATAAATACGGATGTGAAATGAAAAAGTATCTGGCCGTAGCTGATCGACCAGCTTCAAACGAAAATCGGTGTGCCTAGAATATTCTGTACATTTCATTGAAGTTACGAATGAGATGAGATGTTCAATAATTTATAGGACTTTATATAATTTATATTCATGTCACGGCGAGTGATTTCGGAGTTGACGCGGTCTCAAAATTAATTCATAACAACTGAACTTGTGGAAGAAAAAGTTTCTCAGATGGAATTTCTAAATCCTCTTCAGCGACTTCACGTATACAAAAGTTTTCTGTACGTGTTTTGGATTAAAAAATTTGGCTTTTCGTTTTATATATGCAAAAGGACTTGAGAATTTACAGAAATATTTACGATGTTTGTTATCTTCAAAGCTAGGATGGTGTTAAAAGAAGTGCGTTATCGCATATTTTGCGATAATTACGCACAGGGCCCTGGGGAGCCACCCCACTAGGAAAAGGTAAAGTTCTAATCCCCTTTCTTCTATCTCGGTCAAGGCCCTTTTATTAAATTCCACCGCCAACACCGAAATCGCTCTGTTCTACAGTCGAACTGGCATTATCACGTGCGGAAAATAAAACTGCAAACTGCGAGTCTGCGGATTTTCGATTATAACCAGAAAATATCCCGATGTCTGCGTATTTTGAGGTTGTTTTTGTATTTATATGCGCTTTAGTCCATGATTTTATAGTTAATAACTCCACATTTTATTGGAATGATGGCATCTTTCATCAATCACTGAATTAGGGGGCCAATTATGAACTTTGTCACTGTGCACGTTCCTTACGATTCTTTCTAGAAAAATGGAGCATTTATTTATTTACATATTTGATCGTTTGTCGGAGAAATCTTCCGATAGATGCACCTAAGGTGACGAGATACTAAAAATAACAACACTTTCGTTAATAAAAAGTGACTGTTCGGGTTTTTTTAACTAACAATTTTAAAAGAGACAATCAGAGCACAAAATTTCATTAATCGAAGTGTCGCTGCAGTCTTTTATGTCGCTGTTAGCACTCGCGGTCTTTTCCCCCCTAACCGTAGCGTGGAAGTGCGCATGCGCGTGTGGATACTGAACTTCCCATTACGTCACGGCCGTGCGCCGAGTCGCTAGAGTTGGATTCAGCGCAGCTGCGTAGTTTGTGTCAGACACTCAGTACGTGAAATAACTCTCTCTTCCTGTAGACTTACGATTGTGACGTGTGTTACAGAGCCTGTTGACTCTACACGCTTTATTCTGAGGTGAAATTAATATATTTGAGGATTTGATTTATTATAATGCAAGATTATCGGTTTTAAATGCATGGAGAAAAGAATTTTTAGCCATAATTGTTTTGTAAGGAATTATCACTTGTAAAAGAACACGTAATTTCTCTATAAAATCAACGCAGTTAATATGATAAGCAGTGGTTATGAAACCTTTATGTTTGTTGTGGTTAAATAAATTTATTTGAAATGTTAATTGAGCTGTGATAACCTTCTATTAGGAGGTACAATATGTCATGTTACAGCTTTTGTCGTACAGGATCAAAGAACGACAAATATTTCCTGAATCCAACTCTTATCCGTAGATTTTAAAGTGTTTACAAGCAATTTCACATCAAAGCACTTTTTTTCTTACATGTTGAAATGTAATTATTCGTATGATTAATGGAAAACAAGTTACTCCTTTTAGAGGTTATGGAAAGGGTTTGTAATATATCAAGTGTATTTCAATGTTACGTAAAAAGTTTGTCCACGTAAAAGACAAATTAATGTAAAGCAAATACGTAGTTTGCGCTTCAAAATCACTTACGAACTGAAAACTATAGGAATTCAGAAAATATTCAGAACCAAATTATAAAAATGAATGAGATAATAAAAATGATTCTGATGTTAGTAATTAAAAAATATCGCTAATAACTGTAAGACAGTTATTTCTGTGATTAAAATGTATATATATTAACAATGTTTGATGTCAGTGATGGACAAACTTGAATATGATGCAGACTCCATAGCATAAACATGGAGCTTGAATTGTTAAAATATTTTGGGGAGTCACATGTTAATTTTATTAAATCTTGATTTTATTGACAAACCAAAGAAACCAGAATTGTAGTGCCTATTGTTAAATGTCAGTGTGTTATTATATGTAAATGAAGTTTTATTGTGATCAGTCTCAAACCTCAACAGAACGTGAGGTAGTAATCAGTTGTGTTCACAAGTCCCAGATATGATGCTTTGACCCAGAGACATAGGTAGTTGATCTACCTCTATTTTTTGCCGTCTTAATTCGACCATATCTTCTCTTATCAAAATTTCTCTGCTTGACTTTTATATAAAGTTAGGTTAGGTTAGCAATAGATTGGAGTATGGAAGGCAGTGCCACTCCGTTTCGTAACAACTCTGTACTTACGTATCGCTGGCATTTGGCTGGATAATGATAGCCCATCCTTTTGTGTCGCTCTAGTCGGGCAGATATGTCAACCCGCACAGACCATTTATCTCAGCGTCATGGTACTTAATGTGACGACGCAGACTTCAGATAGACGTGCGCATTGTTAGCAGACGCAACGGTGAATATGGCGGTACAATTTGACTAAATTATGTTGTGCATTCGTTGGATATCATTTTATGTGAAACCCTTCATTTGGATTTAGAAATGTTTCAGATTATTTTTAGTTTTGGTTACATTTAATATAATTCTGTGTCTCACCGCGTCGCTGTTCAAAGAGTGCAGCATACCACGCGGAAACAAAACACCTACCTTGATAGTCCAAGCTCAAATGAATTTTCAAAACATTTGTCATGACAACTTATGAAAACGGAAACAATGTAAAATGTTAATTATTTAACTGTGAGAAACAGGTATATTTAATATGATGTCTGTGTAGTATGAGAGTTGATGATTATTTCATTTTTGAATTGCGTAGTTATTGTTTTCGTTTCTTCGTGTTTACTAACTGGTATCTTGAACCACGTAGTAGTTGTGATTTCCTGTCATAATAGATACTGTTGTGAAACTAAAAACAACGAAAACGCACGGGACATGAAGGAATATCTCACGAAAAATCAAATAATTTACTAACATAAAATGCTAAAAGTTTTTGTGTTGTTTGTTATGACACAAAAGAGTCTCTTTGTGTCTGTTTTTGCACCGTGCAGCAGTCCTCCTTCTAGGCAAGTGGAACTTTTCGTGCTGTATTATAAGATTGTTTATATTCTGCGAAACCATTTGAAGCTGGTGAAACCATCATTTAATAATCAAGAATGGCAAAACACATTCCAGTGAGAAGGTTCTAAACTCTGAAACAAGCATGTTCTCGATACAGATTTATTTAATATCACATGTTGTGTAATATTTAATACTATAATTTTGTTAGGCGTATTTTTAAAATTAATAGGTACATTTTTCTGGCATAAAATAAAAATTTCTCCAGCATTTCATAACCCAGTTCAGGTTCACAGAACACATTTCTGTTGAATGTTTGGTTGTGGTACTACTGTTCTTTGCCTTTTGTCCATCATAATTCATTGATGCCATTGCAGACCATGCAATTATTAATCTCTCTGATGTACGTAATAACCACCATTAATTTAAAATTGTCACGTTCAAATGAATCTGCTGCATTGACATTTTACATGCATGTGGGGAGTTCCAGCAGATGGTAAGATGATCTGAGGTCTGTAGTATGGGTAAAAGAAATTGTTTTGGGGACACTCAAATGCCACTGTAAACAGATATAAAATAAGTAGTCTTGTATTGTTCTGTTGACTGGGTAGTTGGCTTTTCAATTGCATTAGCGGCAGCCATGGTTTGAGAAATGTAAACATCTGGTGCTGTGGCGTATCTGCCTGACATATTACAAGATTTTTGTAGAGGTTTTAATTACTTTCATTAACACTGACAGCATCTGCCATGTGACTAAATTTGCATCCCCAGTGATGAACATGGCTGTGTTCAAAATATTTAATCTTTCTTACATTTTCCACAAAATCTTCTCATCTCTCTGTTAGGAAGTGAAATATACACCAGCTTTCAACGTACATATAGTAGAACAATTTGTTTCTCCCATTACAAGTGATTTCTAGTCAGAGTTTAGCCTTAAATGCCTGTGTTAGTATGCCCATCCCATCACCGTTCATACGCATCAGATAGTATATACATCAGTTTATACTCTTCATGCTCTGGCGGTGTAGAAACGAGGAGTCCTCAGAGCTGGACTATTGACATTGTTCAATATGAATATTAACTTCTGTGTAGTATCATATCTGTGCTTGTGAAATTGTAATAGTTCTTTAAACTTAGGAACTGTATACTCTAAATACATGAGGAAGTAATTTTTTTTTTTTTTAGATTTCAGTATACAAAATGAGTGAAAATATACTGCATGGTGAGTTAGCCAGGTGATTAAATCTGGCACTTGTTGAATTCCTAGCAAAAAAGAGACGTTATTGAGAGTAGAGTAGCCGTGAACCGCTGAAGTGTAACAGCTTGCGACTAATTTTTTCTAGAATGAAAACAAAAATTGCAGAGCCCTCATCATCTTCCCTGTGTCTCCTAGAACACTCCCCCATCTAAGCACCGGTTGGTATCGACGCGTATGTGTTTCAGATTTCAACCTGTTCTTGTAAATGCACGACATTTGCATGTTAAATCCAATACTGATGACTTCAACAAATATTCACCATATTGAGATCCATATGGATTCATTTAATAAATAACCACTTTTATGAAATTATTGCTTATTAAGAAAAATTAAGAAATTAAATCCGTGGCGTAACAGCCCTCTGAGAGCCAAAGCTCTGGCCTCACGTTCACATGCTTAAGCAGAGGTGAACGACCATCCAATCAGATGTAGGGTGACGTGTGGTCAGCACGACGAACCCCCAGCGAATTAAGAAAAATTAACAAAACTTATTTACGTAATACATTTTCTAAAATTTTGCCCATTATTTGTACTCAGACAAACATGCAGTTAAATGTTGACTGAAAATTTCCCCCAGTATACACTTCTGCTACGTGTTGGTTTGAGTTGTCAAGATTTTGGAGCCCTTTTCCATCGCCTGTACCCTAAAACACAAGAAGTTAGGTTAGGAAATCTCTCAGGCCAGAGGCAGCCCACGTGTGCTCGTGTACTACTGGGTGAAAGTAATTCTGGACCAATAATGAAAACTGGGTGGTGCTCCGTCTTGCTGAAAGTGCCCAGAGCACAAAACATATACTTGTCAAGGAATCCCTGCTGTATTTTCTCATTTTAAGAAAAGAACAGGCCCTTAATTCCAAATTTGGAAACACCACACTAGATGTTCACCTTTGTTGAATGTCTTTCATAATATTGCGGATCTTGGTGTCCAAAAGGACTTGGTTGTGTTATTCGCTGTAGGACCGACATGGAGTGTAGCCTTGTCTGAGAAGAAAATGCAAACGTAAAGCTCAGTGGCCCTAATTTCCAGCAAAATGTTTTACATAATCATCAACTATTCAGTCTTGCTTAGTTTATGGTCTCATTCATAGAATTAAATTAACAAGTCTTGTTTTTCAGATGCGTGTTTTGAGTGACACTGATTTTTGCGCTGTTAACAAAATTCTCTTGTGTGGAGACAATGTTAATGTCTCTCTGGACACTTCTTGTACCCCCCCCCAAAAAATTTCCCTCGTGGTCATTCATAATTGATCAAATTATAATGAATTCATGTATCCAGCAAACTGTTGGCCGGCTCTGCGGCAAACAAGACACCGTCGCTTACGCGCGCACACTTTGTCAGCTGTCGGTTATCGGCATTGCTATGCACGTTTATGTAAAATATCACCAAAACGTTTTTCTCTCTTTTCCCCAATAATTAACACTTTCATAAAAGTGGTAACAATTTGTTGTAACGCACTATATGCATAAGGTTACATTCTCTTTCTTCTTCCTTTAGTAAAATTATGTCATGACAAAATGTGACACAGTCATATAAATGTTCTCAGTTGCATCTTTCTGCAATCTGCAGCCCTGACCGTCAAAGCAATAACTTTTAAGATAGAAATATGTTAGCCAGTTCAAAAGTGTTAACTTATACTAACTTGGGTTTCTTTTCTTTCCTTTTTAAATCTCAGAGTTTTTTATAAATTATCAAATTATTGTAAAAAAGATCTACATTTTATAAACCCTCTGACTTCCTTTCTTGTTCCACTTCAAACACTGGACAGAACGTACGTTTGCCACGTATTGGTTATACTGCAGAAGCCAAGTAGCGTTTATTTCATTCTGCCATGGACTTGACAATAACGTAACAGACCAATTTGTCAGCGTAAGCATTTGTATGAAACAATGTTTTTTTTTTATGAGGAGTGAATTAGAGCATATATTTATTTGTTTTAAGAAATGAATGTAACAAATTTCAGAATTTGATTGGCTGTAGTAGCAAAATGTTTTGAATATTTTATACGTTTTTGGAGAAAGTTCTTTTTTTTTTTTTGTAACTCAAAACACTTATCAATTAATCAGTAGTGCCATGAAAATTTTAAACTTGAATTTTTAGTTTAAATATTAGATCGATTAAAAGTTATGAAAATTGTGATTTATATCTTAATTTATAGATCGCAGAGTGTAAGCCAAAGACGTTGCCAGGAGTACCGTGTTCACTTTTACCTGACCCCCTTACTTTAAGAAAATTTTAGTTTATTCTTGTGAAATGGCATAATTGTTTTTAGTGCCTGGTGTCTAGTGCAAATTTAATTATAAGACTCATAAGAGCCAATTTCTATTAATTAAAAGGTATAATTTACTGATTTTTAAATGTCTAATGAAGAAATGTCATGACTTTAAGTTAAGTTTCCATCTAGCACTGCTCCAGGTACCTGTCAATTGTGACCTAAGTACATTTTAGTCTGATGCACTGTTTTCGATCCCTTCCCACTGCTCTAACTCAGTCTTCCTCCAATACGGAAAGCTGTTTTTTTTTTTACAAGGCGACAGTGCTGGGCAAAGGAACTGCTCAGGCTTTGCCGTATCCACACATGTAGATATCACAGCAAAATAACTATTTTCTTGTATGATCTGAAGCTTTTACGGTGACTAAGTATGATTAATTCTTCTCGAGCTATCAGCCGTGTCAGGTGGTTGAACGGAGAAAACACCATTTATCCTTTCAACCACCTGACACGGCTGGTAGCTCGAGAAGAATTCATTAAACTATTTTCTTTTTCCATTAATATTTTACAGTGAAAGTAACTCTTGCACTGCGTGGTACAGGTAACACTCGCTTAGGACTGTGTACCCCATGCCGTCGAGGCAAAAAAATATGCCTGTATGAATAAAAATATAATTTATTCTGTCATCGTAGCGCAGTGTAATCTAGATGTATGTAAGTGGTATGTTTGTCACATTTAACCTTCATTTTGTTTCATGTCGTCCAATTTAGGCTCAAACGTTATGCCGTTTTACTTTCTGGTCTTTCTAAGCACCACTTGCTAATATTGACTAAATGTCTCTGACTCATGGTGATTTCTAAGATCAAGACACAGGACACAAAGTATTAGACGAATGCGGATGGTGACAAACAAACAGTGACCTGTGTGTGTCTCCTTAGCCATCTGTATGACACATTTGAGAACTATAACTAATAACTGAGTGGAATTGGGGATAATATAAAATGATAGATTAAGTGGCCCATCCATGTACGAGTCTGGCTCGGCTCGGGTTCCATCGACCCAAACTCGTTTGTGGTTGGGGTGTCACGAGCCGAGTCTGCTATGCGTGTGCGGTGAAATATATCCGAGCCTGGCTCACGAGACGAGCTCGCCGAGCTAGACTCGTACGTGGATGGGCCGCTCTAGCGTATGCAAAACACAGCCGGCTGGACCACACATAGGCCATGACACACAGCTAATAATCGTCAAGTGAGGATTACCTGTACCAGAACTGTATGAATGCAGAGCAGATCTAAACATCTACCAATTCAATTAAAATCATTAAAAACTGAGGAATATGTATAATTCATGTTCATATAATGAAACACTTGCAATGAATGGTAAAGATATTTTGCCACACACATCATGCAGATTGATCTAATACATTAACGTGTGCACGACTCTTACTAGTAAAAAGATTGAGGAGGCCGAGAGTTCGTGAAGTTTGCTTAGACAGCCCAGGTCTGCTCTGCTTACACCATATCCTGAATGGAACAGTTTAACCTCATCTTGTTGTTGAAAACGGCGCGCATCGTAAATATATTTCATTTGAGAGGCATTAGCTTGTCAGTCATTTTCCAGCTTTGATGAACTGTGTGCAAGAAACCTTGGAACTGA